ATGCTGGCCCGAGAAGCTGACACCCATATTGCTATAAATCAAGAAAAAGGTTGGAGGAGAGGGAGAGAGAGAGAAGAGGAATATTCCTAAAATCTCTATGCAATGCCTCAATGGGTATAAACACACAGAGCACCGTGTGAAGAGAAATGGCAGGAAATGAAGATGGCTATTTGTCACATTTTACGACAATAACATTAATAACAAACAATAAATTTACATGGACATATAAGACGCGGTAGGTAGTGAGAAATCCCTTTTACTTACAATACCCCAGCCCGCGGTGTGGCTCCGGCTGCGGGGCTGTTTTATTGCTGCCTCCCTCTCTTTTTCTCTCTCCCTCTCTCTCTCCCCCTCTCTCTTTTTTTTTTTCTCGGGGTACAGGCTTGTTTTTCAAAGGACAGTTGAATTGCACGTCAGAAACAGGGAGACCAAGCCTGTGATTTTCCTGACGAATACATATCTATTCTGCAACCTCGGCATTAATTATTTAATGAATCACGTGACCAGGAGGGGGAAGGGGGTCTTTCGATTTCAGGCTCAAAGGACCACTATGACCTTCCCCTTCAGGAGGAGAAATTTTCCTGCAAAATAGGTTCCCCCCAACCCACCAATGGAATAGTAGTGAGTTCTCCTCTTCCCGCATTCACAGCTATACCTACAACATCCCTAACACCCCCACACACTTACCCACAGCCCACCTCTCCTCTCTCCCTTCTCCTCCTGCTTCTGCTTAGTTCATGAAGGTGCAGAAATAGTCTGCAGGGGCGTCTAGGGGTGGGGATGGGGGTGGGGTGGGCACGAGTCTTTCTCCAAGCTTCCAATTTTTCTCTCTGCATCCTTTAAGATTAAGAATCCCCCCCCCCATTCCACTCTGTCCCTCACTCCTGGGGAATTTATTTTAGCGGGACCCACTTCCCCGCTTCCTAAACAGCCAACAACATTTCTAAAGGAACCAGCTTCACAAGGGGCAGCTCCTGTCTATATTGTGTGTGTAGTAAGCAGAGGGCTTCTGGCTTGAATTCTCTTTTATTTTGGTGGACCTTTTGAAGGAACAGAGAGGGACAGAGTGAAAAGATGACTCTGGAGTTCAGAGTCACCCATATGGGGCTATCATTCTGCCGTGTTGTTACTAATCTAAGAAGCCAAATTCTACTGCCTGAATAGACTGTGCTCTGGACAAAGACCTGGACTAGAATTTCTACACAAAAGACGTGACCATGCAGCCTCCCTCTACCCTGCCCCCCCCCCCCAGTGTCTCCTTCCAGTGAAGACAGCTGGAGATTCCAATGGGAGAGAAGGGCAAACGAGGCTTTGAAGTTGGCCTGGCAGCCCTGGTCCCTATTTCCCAGGTGTTAGAACCCTGAGCTTCCAATCAGCAGACAATAGAGCCTGATCAATGGGAAAAAGATGGGGGTGGCGTGCATATAAAAGGGTTAAACCCCTGGGATAGGAGAAGTCCATCCCCTAGGCCAAGAGAGAAACATAACCAGACTCCTTCACCTCAGATAAGAAAACAAAACAAACCCCAAATGCCCCAAACCTTCACACAGAGCTTAGCCCCAAAAGGCGGAGACCAGTCACAACTGGAATGAGTGTCTTGGGTCACAGTGTGCATGGGGTGCAGAGGGGAGCAGAAAAGACATTCCTGAAGAACCCCCACTCCTCACCTCACATTCCCAGCCTTCTCTACAGCAGCTCTCTGGGCTGCAGGGCCACAGCTACAGGGCAGGACGCGGGTAGGAAGCTCAGGGCAAGAACAAATGAGTGAGACTTGGGCCTGGAAGTGATTTGGGGTGTGTGGGGTGGGTAAGGTTCGAACCAAAAAGCAATTCAGTGGAGAAAAGGTTGGAAACCCAACTGCCAGCAGCTTGGGCCTCCCTACCGGGTCTGCACTGGGTCAGCAGGGCCTCCCCAGAATTCCATTCCCAACTGGGTGGGGGGCCCTGAGGACCAGACTCTGTAGGGGGGTAGCAGGCTTTGATTGTCCAGATACAAAACAGACTGGTATTGAATTCAGCCTGTTCCAGACAAGAGCCCGGCGCCCGCTCTGGCTCCAGCGAGGGCAAACCCCAGCAAGGTCCCGGTCACAAATCCACTAGAAGTTGTTCCCCAAAGAAAAACACTTCTTTAAAAGTCTGAAAAGAAAAAATAAGGTGAGAGGGGAGGGAGAGCGCCAATAATACGCTGTATGCTGAAGCATGGGGAAACAACTATCTCTAAAATGGAGAGATTGTTTTCAAGGACAAGCAAAAGAACTGTAAAATGACATGAAGGCACCGGGCAGGTTCTGTTAAAATGCCCACACTCCATTCGGACCCTGGGAATGTCGGTGTTCAAATAAACAAGCGCCTGAGCCCGCGCTGCGCGCTTTCTTACCGCCGATAAAGCGAACGTTTATACAGTGAGAAAGGCGAGATTGATTTACGAATCTGAACGCGCCAGTTTTATGGCCGATCACAAATCCGTCAGCGCTCAACTCACGCTGGGAAACTTCCCAACTCCGTTTTCCAACTAGACCCCCCTCCCGGCTGCCGCTACCCGGGGAGACCCTCCGCGGGGGCCTGGGGCTGCCTCCCGGCTGCTGCCGCTGGAAGCTCCAGTCTGCCCCGCGGGTGGAAGGCAGGGAGGGCCCAGAGATCTCAAGGGAAGAGAGGTCAAAGATGAGGAGGCCTTGGGGTGGACACCAAAAATGTAAGAGGTGAACCTCAGAGACCCTAAGGGAACACTGAATTCTGCAATGTTGGGGTTTGGGAGAGAAGGAGAAGGGGGATCTTCCAGAGCCCTCTGCATCTGCGATCAGAAACCCTTGCATGAACCCCACCTTTCCTTTCCATTGTTTTCCTTCTTTCCCTTTGGTTGACCCCTAACCCTCCCATCATAGAGAGCAGCTTATAAAGTCACAAGTGACTAGATCTTTGGCTCCTGGACCTACAGAGGTTCCACTACTGGTTATCTGTCCTTATGAGAAGGACAGTGCACATCTCCACTGAGCCCCAAATATTTCCTGTCCAGGGCCAGTCCAGTTCGCCTTTCTATTTCTCCATTTCCTTCCCAACGCCTCTAGCCCCTGCATTTATTATACCACCCAGGGACAAAGGCGATGATCTCAACCAAGGCTAGTTATTTTTGCTTGACACAGAATCCCCAAGTTACAGGAGACAATTGACAAAATGCAAACCAGCAGTCCACACATAGCCCAGCAAGGTTCTGTCTCTCCTCCCCTTAATCCAAAAGGAGTATTTCCTCTTCTCAGCTGGAGTCTGTCTGTCTGTCTCTCTTTGTCTCTTCCTCCTCCTAAAAGAATGACTGCTGTGTGGGTTTTTAAAAAACACTTCAAGTGGAATACAGACTAGACTCTGTATTGAGGATTCGCTTTTTTAGCAAATGTTCCACTCATCTCTGCAAATTAAAAGTTGCTGAAAACTTCAGTTAACTTGCAGAACAGCCCTTGAGAGTGGTCAGTATGAAACACTGACCCTTCTCTCACCTCCCTTGTTTCTCTTGATCTCTTAGTAGCTGGGATGGGGTTGGGGATTTTTAGAGAAGGGGGCGAAGAATAGTTATAGGGATAGCATCCTAAACAAAGAAACTTCAAGGGCCGTGGATTTGGATGAGACCTTAAGAGACATTAACCTCTAAGAGTGGACATGGAGGGAGCCCTCTCGGTCTGTAGGACCCAGGGTTTTGTCCCCCTAATTCTCTGTGGACTCCTTATAGCCTCGCTCCCTGCCTTTGTCTTTCTTCTTCAAATCCCCCAAGCCAAACAGGAATGAAGGAAGGATGAGCTGAACATGGGGAGCTGGGGAGTGGGGACAATGAAGCCTGCCTAGGAAGGAACTCTGCACAGAGTGACAGGTTGACACCCTCCACACCTCCCCCAGCTGTACCCTGAGCTAAAGTATTTATTCTGCTTGTCCCTGATGGACTGTAGTAGGAAAATTACCCAGAAAATCCAAAATAGTGAAGAAGGAGTTGAGGGCTGGAGGGGGATGGAAAAGATGGGACACACAACAGCCCAAGGACCGCCCGCCCCCCCTGCCGAGGTGACTTTCCCTCCCAGGCAGGAGGCAGGGGCCAGCACAATGTCCAGTCTCAGAGAGGTCAAGGGGCTTCCGAGGTCATTTTGTGGTTCTAATACTGAGCTAATCGCCTAGAAAACGTGGCCTCTCCATGAACTCTCCTGCCTTAAATCCTCAGTGAGCCCCAAGGAAAAGGGGCCTACACATTCAGGTCAGGGGCAGAGCCCACTGGCTCCCTGGCCACTAGAGGGAGGGCCCCCTGGGGGGAGCCCCCAAACCAGAGAGCCGAAGGAAACCAAACCAAACCCTGAACCTCCAGGAAGAAGTGAGGGGGGAGTCAAAGAGAAGAGTCGGGTGCCAGAGGAACTTGCCTGTGAGCAGGACAGTTTCCTGCTCCAGAGAGTTGCAAATATTTGTCTAGAAGTGCAAACTAGGCACAAAAATTTAAAAACAAAGACATCCACGTATCTCTGGCTCCAGTGCTGGTGCAGCCCACTTTTCCTGGAGGCAGCAGGGACATCTCACCCATCAACAGCCATGGAGCACGGAGCCCCCAGTGAAGGCCAGCAGGCCACTCCATGCAACAAACCAGCCCCTCCGTACCCCACCTTACAAATATGCATACACCAAGGAACCCCCACCCCCACCCCAGCAGCCTGCATTTCCCAAACACGGAAAAGCAGCTCTGGGCTGCCTCACAGCCAACCTTCTCTGGCTTTTTTCAGACACCCTGACACCTCAGCCGCTAGCAGTTCAAACACCCCCCAGGTGTCTGCCGGCTCTCTCTCTGACCCAAGCATCGGTCAACATAAAAGGCAGCAAACCTGACTAAGTGTCCACCCTAAAAACCCCCGAGAAGACAGTTGAGAAAAGAAACAACAAAGTGTTTCTTCTTTGTAAAAAAAAAAAAAAAAGAGGGGGGCTTATAAAATGATCCCACACCCCTACCAAAAATAAAGCCAGCCCAGGCAGGCTCGGTACCTTTGCGCCTCTCGCCTCCTCTCCTGGACGTGGAGGGTCCCATTCATGGCAAACGGTGTCTTCCAAACTGAGAGAAAAAAGTTTTCAACTTTATGGTTCCAAATTTTTCCCCCTTGCAGATCCGGGAGAGACCGCTAACACTTTTTTCCCCCAACAGCCGGTCTGCGGAGATTTGCTGTTGAATAATAACAAAGGAGAGAGGATACGTATTTAAAGAAAAGAAGTGATTAATGGTTTTCTGTATAATTCTCACATTTTTCTTAGCTCTTGTCTACACAGAATGGCTGTGAACTTTAAGCTCCATAGAAATCTTTTTTATTCTATTCATACCTTCCAACGAGCAGCTTTGATTTGGTTGTATAGCGACATTCCTGGGGGGCATATGCTTTTTAAGAACTATTTTCCCCCTCTACCAAGCCGCCACATCCCCTGGCAGCTAAGCATCACACCGCGATTCGGCAGAAACAAAGCTCCCGGTCTCATCCTCCAGGTCCCTGGATTTTTTTATGAGTCTCCAGGCAGCATTTAACCGGGCGGTTTAGCCGCCCTTTGCTGCTCTCTCGGACACCGACCGGACGGCGCACCCCTGGTCCTACCCAGCCTCAAACTCCCGGCACTGCGAACTGCAAACCAGAACAATACTAAGAAAATAATAATAAAACGTGGGAGGGGGGTTGGCTCTTTTTATTTTCTGAAGAGAGATGGGACTAAAACCCGACTTTTAATTGCATGTGCTCTCCCAAGCTTTTGGAGCGTGTGTATGGGGAGGGGATGACTGGACCCTGGACATCACCGGAGCTCTCTGGAGCCCTACGGGCCCAAGCTCCCCGACCTTAGAACTTCTCTTTGGGTGCTGCACAAAAGCGGCCAGAGCAGGACAGTGCTGCTGAGGATCATCCGCACCCCAGCCCCTTCCCCCACTCCATTCTAGGGGTGACTGGGACCTCAGAGACAGAAAGCTATTTGGTCCCCAGTCATACTTTCGATACTTTCTATGAGAAAGAAAATGAAAATTAATACAGGAGCAGGGCTTCACAAAAGAGGCCATTTGTCTTCTTGATTATCTATTTGCTTGTCAGAGTTTGAGCTATGGCACCGGCTAGCTCCTTTGTAATATAAAAATTCTCTGAAAACCTGCAAACACCCAGAAACATCTGTGCAAAAAATTAGACTCATTAAACCCTTAAACACCTCAGAGGAACACGATACCTTCTTAGGCAGGAGGAAAGAGGCCGGCCTCGCGGAATCCTCTCTCTCGAACTTTAATAAGCAAAGAGCCGTCTGTCTAGAAGGAGACAGCTTAACCGCATTTTATTTGCTTATGACAAATAAATCACAATATGAAAGGCTTTGCCGCACTTAAGCCTCTTGTGTCCTACAATGAAACATTTTCCCCCCATTAGGGATTGGAGTCAGCCCTCCCAGCCCTTCCAATCCATTTTTGGACTGGAGGGAAAAAAATTAAAAGGCCCAAACAAAACACACCCATCCCAAAAGGAAAACAAGCCAGCTATTACAATTTGCAGTCCTCTGAGATAGAAATTCCCATCGGACCCTTTGGAGAAAATCCTTTCCTTAACCACATGCACTGTGAGTGGGGTCTTCAAATATCTACTGGGTGGCATTTGTCTGTATCTTCACATCAAGGTTTCAACAAAAACACGCCGTGCTGGTCACAAGAAACCAAACATTTATTTCTATTGTCACTCCATACAGGACACAAATTTCACGCCAACGAAGGGTTCTAGACTCAGGCAGCCCCAGAGCTAGGAAGGGGCCTGGTTTGGAATGTCAGAAAGAGAATAGGAGAGCAGACGTACATGACATAAAATTAATAATAATAATATAATAATAATAATAAAATAATCATCGTTGCAACAATGACAAACTAGGGGGAAAGTCCCCGAAACGTGGTCTCCCACACCCGGAGGGGCGCGACATTTTATTTCCTAGCTTCACATTCATTTGCAGTCTAGGAGAGGAGGCCTGTCTGCTGCACAGCGCTAGGTGAGCCAGAGGGTCGTGCCTGTGCGGGGGCTCTCTGCACTCCCCTGGCCCCTCACCCAGCCAGGGATGACTTGACCTTCCCGAGGAAGGCCCTTCCGGTCTCCAAGTCTCTCCTTTATCCTCGGACCTACTTTACCTGCCTGCTCCCGTGTTACGGAGGCTGCCCCCCCGCCGCCACTTGTCCCCTGCCTGCTGCCCCCATCCCGGCCTGGGCGGAGGGGATGAACAGTCAGTGTCCCGGTGACAGGGCGCAACGGGGAGGAAGGTTGTGTGTGTGTTTGTTACCGTGGCCAAAACACTGTGCTATCTGGCAGTCAGAGGGTGCTTTCGCTGGGTGTCAGGAATGGGGGACAAAGAAAGAAAATCCAGGCTGTCTTCCAGCAGCGGCAGCAGCAGCGGCGGCCGAGCCGAGCCTCATTTGTTAGTCGGGTGTCGAGGTAATGGTCGCCACGGAGGCCCGTCCTCTCCTCGGCAGAGTAAACAAGACAGATGGGCCTGGGCCTGGCGTGATTAAAGATGAAACGCGGATCCATCTTCGCCAAAGCTGAAAACGAGGAGTGCAGCCTCCTCCTATTTCTCTTTCTGTCTTTTTCTTTCTTCCTTCTTCGTCTTCTTCTTCTTTTTTAAGGAAGAAAGCAAGAAACTTGAACCTTGCTTCTGGGGGGCCTCACCCGGCTCCCTATTGTCATTTCTATAAATAAAGCTTCCCCTCCCCCTCCTCTGCGTTTATTCGTGTAAATAGATAAAGTGGGGGGGGCAGGTTTGCTTTGGGGGGCCCAGGCCCCAGGGTCTCCTCCCGCAACTTTCCCCTGCTCCCGCCCCCGCAACCCGCCCCTCCCCGAGGTCCGTGGCTCCCGGGCCGAGCCGGGAGCACTAGAGAGCAGGGGGGCCTCCGTTGGGCCGCCCAGGGGGCCCGCCGGTTGCGCCTGTGGTGCCACCGGAGCGGATCTTGGTGTTGGGCAACTTGTGGTCTTTTTTCCACTTCATGCGCCGGTTCTGGAACCAGATCTTGATCTGGCGCTCGGAGAGGCAGAGCGCGTGGGCGATCTCCACCCTCCGGCGCCGCGTCAGGTAGCGGTTGTAGTGAAATTCCTTCTCCAGCTCCAAGACCTGCTGGCGAGTGTAGGCGGTCCGAGAGCGCTTGGGCTCCCCGCCGGCGTAATTGGGGTTTACTGGACACACACAGAGAGAGGGAGAAAGAGAAAGTTTTATTGCCCCGAAAGGGAGGAGGGAGAGCCCTTTCTTCCAGCAAACACACTGTCTCCCTCCCTCTCCCCACCTCTTCTTCCTTCAGAGGGGGGTGGGGACGAAAGGGAAGAGAGCGGACCCCCAGGAAGAGAAAGAGACCTCAAAGTTTTGGAGATTTGTTTTCCTGCTGTTGTTTTGGGTGTCTGGAAGGGGGTGGGGATTGGAGCGAGTGAGAAATCTTTACGAGGTTTTAAGCGATCCTCCGCCCCCCACCACCCTTGGCTTAGAGCCGGGGATGGGAGAATGAGGGGTGAAAAAGGGAGGGGGCATCCCTAAACCCTTCTTCTGTTAGTTCCCACCCTCGCTGCTCAGATTCCAAGCAGTGCCTGCCTCCAGCAAAAACTTTTGCCCACTTCTCCAGCCAAAGAATCAGATGAGAGGAAAGAAAGGAAAAAATAAATACTGGGAGTTGACTCAACTCTCCCCTTAAATACAGATTACCTCCTCCTCCTTCTCCTCCCCCATCTCCCACACCACTCCCCATCTTCCAACTTCACTGAGACTGCATCTCCCTGGCGAAAAAGTCGCTAGTGAGAATGGCAAAGAGGATGGTGAACCGACTTCAAAGGCGCGGGGCCCACCAGGCCATAAAAATTTATGGGGGATGTAATTATGTGGCTCTGAAAACAGGCGACCGTAAATCTCCGGCAATGGCGAGTTTATGGCGGGGACAATTGGCTTCTCCCAGCTTTCCACACACACACACACAACCCCATGCCTGCCGGTTCCTTCAGTGTAAAGCGCCGGGGGTGGGAGGGGGAAAGGGTGCCCACGCACTCACCCGTGCTCACGTGAACTTTGCGCATCCAGGGGTAGACGACGGGCTCTTTGCACGCGGAGTGGGATGGGTTGGGGTGCAGGGGGTTCTGGGCGCAGGGAGGCGGCGGGGGACTGCTGCTGACCGCCTCGCAGCGCTGGCCCGGCTCCGGGAGGAGGGCCCCGGAGGGCGGCGGCGCAGGAGCCCGAGGGGACAGCCTGGGCG